GTCTAAACACCTGTTATTTCAGTTGGACAAGTGTAATGGAATGAAATGACTGTTTTCCACCTAAAAGTCATTTCCCCCCCTCTCCTCTGACACAGAACTAATCTGCATGAGTAATTGCCTCAAGGTCGCATGCATTTGCTCTAAACTTTTCTTTTCCAGCCCAAGAGAAGAATGAAGAAAAGGACTCTCTCTTTTTAATAAATCAAAGAACTCTATTTTTAATAAGCTAATCAAACAAAGTGTTTGTCAGTAATAAAATGTGAACCAATTTGTGAAATAAAAATCTTTATTCCTTTATTATAATCCTATAGAATATAATAAGTAATATGACTTTAAATGTTTCCACTAGGGACTGATCTCACGTAGCGTTAAGACATGACACATTGCTTTACTGATCCAATCAGAATCTGCCAGATCTGACGGAGGCGTGTTTTTGGTGGTGCTTGGTAAATCTGTCATCTTTTCATTCAACCATAAACGAAAACATCCGAAGTATACAACTATGCCCACGTCATCTTTAAAGCCAGTTCAAAGTGTTCAAGAGAAGTTGACATAGTGGCCAATCCGTAACTTTCCTCTTCAGCCAAAAGAACCAACGACAAGCTGGAAAACCTGCTGCCGTTCCACCTGCTGCAACGGTTCCTTTCAGAATAACAGCTGAATCATCATGACGCCGTTTTGGGTCTTGTTAGATGCCGATAAACTTTCGTGACCCGGAAGTATCTCAAGACTGGACTAGTCGGCTGCCGCGGCTGTTCTACAAGCTTTGGCTCCAAAGGTCCAAGCTGGACCTCTACACCTCCTGATCTAGACGGGGACTTCCGCTAAGGGTACATAGACCAACAGAATGGCATCGAATGTGTTTATGAATCTCCTAACCAAAGCTTAGCGCGAAGACATCACCTTCACTCCCACCAGAACTAATCGTTACTTCTGATTTGCTGGATCTGAACAACATTCCACACTACACCATTCTCTGTCTCATTCACCTTAGTTACACCATACATTTAGTGTTAAAGTTAGTCTAGTTTTAATTTGTTTAGTAATAAATCTTTAAACTTTTAAAACTTAACTCTCTCTTCTGTTATCTTTCTGTCAATACAAAGTGTTACATAATCCCTGCAATAAAAAGTTCCAATCTGGTTAAAGGCACCCAAAGATCCATCATATTGATTCCATATTTCCTATGGAATCTGATGTCTCATGGGTCACTAAATAACATGTAAATTAACCCTTTACACAAGTTTAACAGTTTAATCTTTACATTTAACTGAACTGTGAAATTCACATCTTATGCTAAATTTGGTAACTGATTGCTGAAGTTGTTGAATACCGGAAGTGAAGCTGAAACTAAGCTAAACTGGCAAATGAGCTGAATGTAGTGAAAGATGTGAAAGCAAAAAGCACCAAGAAGCAAATAAAGCACAACAAGTAAGTGAAGAATCAAGAAAACTAGTCCTAAACAGCAGAAAACTGAAATCTGTGAACATTGTTTAAAAAACTGGACAGCTAAAATGTCTAAACACCTGTTATTTCAGTAGGACTAGTTTAACAGTTTAATTTTTACATTAGCTGAACTGTGAAATTAGCATCATATGCTGAATTCAGAAACTAATTGCTGAAGCTGAAACAAAGCAAAACTGTTGAAATGAGCTGAATGTATTAAACGATTTAGAAGCAAAAATCACTAACAAGTGTAATAAAGCTCGAAATATAGCAGGAAAATGGACAAAAAAATGCTAAACAGCAGAAAACTTAAATCTTTGAACATTGATTAAAAACTCAAAATTTGAAATGTTAAACAGCTGGCATTTGAATCAGAATAGTTTAATGGGTACATTTTTACAAGTGGCTGAACTGTGAATTTAGAAACATTTGCTGATATCTGAAACTGATAGATTAACATATGATCAGATTTGATATGGGATGGATGAATGAAATGACGGATGGATTGTTGGATGGATAATAGATGGTTTATTGGATGGATGGGTGGATGGATTCCTTAGGTCAAGCCGATCGATTTGATGTCTCACATGTGTGGGTGTGTTATTCCATTTAGCCAGAAGATGATTGACCTCTCTCAACCAATCAGGGAGCAGGGAGGGAGCGGGGCACTTTCCCATCTTCTGACGGTCAATCAAATTTAACTTGTTTCTAGTTTTAAGTACAGATAGTTCAAAAAGATCAAAAACAGGAAATTGTTATTGGCTCAATATTCAGCTTTTTATATTCATTCCTATGAGACTTGGTTAAAGTGATTTGTAGTTCATTGTATTGCCATGGTAACAGATGACAGGAGTCTGCTTTAATAAAGCAATGCACAATATCACATGACTCTTTTAAACTTTGAATAACATTTCTGTATTAAAGTATGCTGATAAGTTGTGTCTAAAATGTTGTCAGATGTTGTTGCTAAGCACGTTGCCATGGTAACGCTGAACACAATATCAAGTTAATACAAGACTCCTGGGACCAAGCAGGTTGAATTGATGTATGATACGAGGGGGTGCATATTTCCTTTTAGGCAGAAGACGATTGAAAACTCTCAGCCAATGAGAGAGCAGCGAAGGAGGAGGGGGCGGTTCCTGCCTTCTGACTACTGTTAAAATGTCAGCTATGCTGCTAGATCTAAGTGTATAGAGCTCAGAAAGATAAGAAACAGCAGTATGTTATAGGCTCAATATTAGGCTTTTCACATTTATTTTGATATTGTGGGCAGCAGTAGCTCAACAGGTTGAGTGGGTTGTCCAGTAATTGGAAGGTTGCAGGTTCAATCCCGGCTCCGGACAGAGAATTCTGCTGTTGTGTCCTTGGGCAAGACACTTAACCCACCTTGCCTGCTGGTGGTGGTTGGAGGGTCAGGTGGCGCCTGTGCTTGTGCTCGCCTCTCATCCCCACCAGTGTATGAATGTGTGTGTGAATGGATGAATGATACACTGTAGTGTAAAGCGCTTTGGAGTCCTTGCTCTGAGAGGCGCTATACAAGTGCGGGTCATTTATCATTTATCATAAGACTTGTTTGGGGATATACTTAAGCACTTGTGTTACCATAGTAACAGATAACAAATTTAAAATTGAATACAAGATTCCTGAAACCAAACTGGTCGATTTAATGTATCATATGTGTGGGTGCTTGATCCTGCTTGGACAGAAAATGTTTGAACACTCTCAACCAGTCAGAGAGCAGCACTGTTTTCCCGCCTTTCCCCCCGGCTGTTGGGAGGCCTGCAGCTGTACGCCTTCCTGTTAATGAGAGGAGCCTTTAAATCTGTCCTTCTGATTATAATCAGTCACTCTGAGTTTTTCATGCATACTGAAGGTGAAAGTAGTCTCCTACACCTATCTCCTGCATTAGCTTCTGATAGAAAATAGATGGTGAAACTCTAGAATTGGAAAAGCCTGACAGATCTACATCAAACTTAACATTCATGGACTCACCCATCTTGATTCGCAATGAGGAAGGCTGTTATTGGTTTAGCTTCCAGGGAAACAGCAGAGAATGTCTCAGCTAGTAAAAGCTAGCAGTTAGCATTTCACCACACAGCAAAACTCCTCCAGGCTTGTGTTATTTGCGGAGATAAAACATCAGTGTTGCATATCAGTGGTAGAGTTAAGTTGCTGTTTTCCAATCTGATGATAGACGTCCAAATATCACAAAATAAGGTTCCAAAACCTGCCATTTCAAGTTCAGCTGTGATGTGGCTCACTTCTAGTTCCTGGAAACGATGCATGGGTGGTTTTTGCTCTCTGAGCATGAATTACAAGGCATTCATTCCTGCTAGAGACCCCTGCAAATGTATCAGTTAAACAAGTGTTCCACACCTTTAAATAAATAATAATTGTATCTCATAGTAGAATCATGAAATCACTTTGATTCAACCAAGAATGTCAAGTTCAGAAAAAAATGGTGCAATGGAGGCACAGTACGTCACGTCTATCAAAGGCTTTAAAATCTCCAGCTGAAAGCAGTCACCATGACAACGATCAAGGATCAAAGATCAATGGAACACACATATACATATACACATATACATATATATATGTGTGTGTGTGTGTGTGTGTGTGTGTGTGTGTGTGTGTATATATATATATACACATATATGTGTGTGTGTGTGTGTGTGTATAGGTAAAGATTGTTTTAATGTGCTTGTTATTCTTCTCCTCCCCAATCATTTCTCTCCTCTAGAGCAGATGTCTGTCTCCATAAGCTGCAGCTGCAGAACACACTTTCCCTCCCCAAGGCTATTTTCTGAGGCCAGATAACTCAGTGGCTCACACAGCAGTGCGCAGAACAGATAATAAAATTCCCATTTGACGTTGCAGACCACTGGTCCTCCGAGCAGACTCATCTGACACACAACAAGTACATCATAACAAATACATCAGCCCAATCAGCAGCTGAAGGTCATTATCGCTCTTATTTATGCAAAAAGAGGAATGTTTGTGGCCATGAGGCTGGATTTTTTTTTTTTTTGCATGTTTTCACTTTTAATTGTTTATAATTTAGAAGGAAGGTGAAAGAAGAACAAATCTGACAGGCTTAGCCATAAAAAATCCAGCTGTTCTGCATCAGGACACTGAATACATTTCCTCCCAGTATTCTGTGAAGCTTGTTCAATCTTTTCTTTTTATTTGAATGAGACTGTGAATAAGTGTGATTCACTGGAGAAATGGACTGACAGTTCTCTGGTCAGTCAGGCCATCTGGCATTGTTCTGAGAGGAGGGCAGTCGCCTCATCACAGCGCTGATCCTGGAGCTTCAACATATGCTGGTTAAATGATGCAGCAGGTAATTATTTTTATCTGGCTCTTTATGAAAACTAAATCTCAAACATCTTCAAGAGTAAATTTGAGGAGTCACACCGATGGTGGTGAAGCAAACATGAACACAGCGGCGCTGTTGTATACGATGAATTCCTGAGCTTATGAACTTTCCTACATGATCACACACCTCCACATTTGAGCAGCACACAGTTACAGCACATCAATGACTCACTCACCAAGGGCAGAAGGAAGATCGCAGTCAGCAGGTAGCCTCTCATTGTGTCCTGTTAAGAGCGTGTGCCCAGAAGGCAATCACTTCATATGTGTTTGAGCGGCTGTGTGTGTGGATTAACAGGGATGCACTGGAAATGTGTCTTCAGTCACCGCAGCATCAAGGGAGCTGAAATGTGACAAAAGAATAGACAAGATCATGGTTTGTTGGTTTAAAGGTATTAATATACGAAAATAACTAAACAATTTTAAGTTTTTATAGGATCAGCAGTATCATTAGAAAGACAGCTGTGAAAAGTTGCTTTTTCCTGATTAAAATGGTTATTTACTACAATAGACCAGATATAAGGTCAGATGAGGGTGAGTAGCTGGGCAGGATCTTAGAAACAATAATTAAAGAGGACATATAATGATTTATTTTCTTAGGTTACAACAGCTCTATGTTCAATACCAAACATGTTCATGATGTTTTTTGCCTAAGATCCCTCTCACATAAAGTGATTTCAACAATTTTATTCCCTTCCAGAATGAGTAGTTTCTGGGCTCTGTCACTTAAAAAAAACAAGCTAGAGCTAAACACACCCACCCATCCCCAGCTCAGACTGCTATAAGCTAAGAAGCTCTGATAACCATGCTCTTCCAGCAGCAGATCTCTCTTGCATGTAGGAGGTGCTTTTATGCTAATTTCAACATTTGTGACATCACAAAGAGGGGCTTTTTGAAACAGCTTGTTTTTGTCACATAATTCCTAAAACCAAACAGGTGATTTTTCTTCACATTTGGAGTGTTTATTGAAGCAGCACAAAAGGAGGCAAAGGTGAGTTTTGAGTTATATGTTCCCTTTTAAAAAGCTGGGAAGACAACATTTCATACATCTGATTTCTATCATGAGGATTGTTCCGTACAGTCACTGCTGTAAAAACACAGTAGATCATTTGTGGAAAAATGAAAAAAAAAAAGCTTTCCTGAAATGCTTTCTGACATTCATTAATATGGTGAATTAAAATAATAATAAAATTAGTAAACTCTTCATGTTTTAGAAACAGCAGATTAGATAACATCAGTATTTTTTATCAGGGTCACAAACTACAACCACATAAATTCATTTGTTTTCCACTAAGACAAAATACAAAAAAAAAAAAAAAAACTTTCTATAGCATCTATTTTGTGAAAAACTGTTCACAGAGCTATCATTTCTACTTAAACTAACCCCAAATCTCTTATAGTCTGTTATTTTAATACAAATCGTTGGCTTTTGTGATGAAAGGCTGTTTTTTATCGAATAGAAACAAGCACACCTCAGATAACTAGATAACTGTGCTCATGTCAGCTGTGGATCAACTTTCAATAACAACTACACGGAGCTAATTTTGGGTAATGTTATGAAAAATCTGAATAAGTAAGACTTTGAAGTCCTCTAGATGACCTTACAGGAGTAAAAATAAATAAATAAAAGAAATGTGTGTGTCGAGTCAGACTTTTAAACATTTTCTCCGCTAACGTTTCACCCAGTTGGTGCAGCTTACGCGCACACACACACACACACACACACACACACACACACACACACACACACACACACACACACACACACACACACACACACACGCGTTATACCAGCAATAATTCATGCATTCACAGGCAAATTCAGCTGTGTCCTTTTCCATCCAGAACCCAATCCAAATAGCTCTGAAGCGTCTCTCGGATGCTTAGATGAGAAACAGGAGTAACCGTGCTCAGAGAGAAAATGAAGGGATTTAGAGGTGGATGTGTCCAATTTGAAGATCTTCTAAAACTCTCAGGACCTCAGATGAGGAGTAAAAACTAAAAAACTGGGTTTTTGTTATCAGGAAAGCTCTGGTTCTGGAAACAGCAGAAGGGTTCAACGTTAAATCGTCCTGAGGACAGTAAGAGCCAAGAGACACTCTGGTTTGCTCAGATTATGTGTGAGTCACCAGAAAATTTGGGAGGTTTTAAAGCCATGGGGAGATTCAGGACTTACAGCAAAAAAAAAAAAAAAAATAATAAAAATAAAAAAAAAATGCTTCAGAAGGGTGGATCAACCAAAACATGACCAAAAATGCACAATATGTACGTGTCAGAAACATTAAAACTGTCTATTACAGTGTGTGTGTGTGTGTGTGTGTGTGTGTGTGTGTGTGTGTGTGTGTGTGTGCAAATGCATCAAAAAACAAGAGAAGTGAGTGAACTATGATTATTTCTTCTGAACCTCCTCGCGTGCATAAACTCTTCCCGTACCCAGTTTAGACCGATCCAGATGAACAGATCCAATTAACCCAGATGTCGTGCTGGAAACGTGAACCGCGTGTCTGCGAGTGTGTGTGTGTGTGTCTGTGCGTGCGCGCGCGCTCGCTCGCTCGCTCGCTCGCAACAATGCTGCAGCCAGAATTCAGAACCAGAACACGTTTATTCAGATGTTCGGAGGCCATGCAGCTCAAACATTGAGGCTCTTATTTCTGTTTTTGTCAGAAAGGAGGAGAAGAAACCAATCAATGCGAGACTGATGTTTTTCTCTTGGTGCCCGAAAATCAATACGATCATTCCAACGCTAACCCTTTCCCCCAGCGCTCTGGAACACATTTAAAACATCATGCACGGATGCGGGTGACCTTCGCCTCCTCATTTACTCTCCACGAAGAGAAAAAGAAAAATCCTAGAATATGGACATAGTATCTACGGTGTATGTTGAGTTTGTGAGCTGCAGCGCGAGGCAGAGGTGCGTGAGTAAAAGCGCGCCGCCCTCTCCGTGAATAACAAGTGAAAAGGAACTTACCGGTGCGTAATTTCCAGCGGGAGGAATGCCTGCGCGTGGAGCCATCGGTATTCGTAGATCCCGAACGGTGTTTCCGCCTCGTTTTACTCCTGAAGTCGTTTCCACCGCGTTCTGAGACAGAGTGAGAGAAAGAGAGAGAAGAAAACGGGGGACAGGTGCGGTTATTACTGCGGTTGCTGCTGCAGGACGGACTCAGTGCTGCAGCAGCTGAGGAGGACGTGGGAGGAGGAGGAGGAGGAGGAGGGGGGTGCCTGCTCCGTTGGGGGCTCGCACCTCGTCAGCCACTAAAAACTAAAGTGACTGTAAGTCTGACCCTACGGGCGCAGATGATGTCTGAAAAGAGGAACTTCCGGTCTTCATGTGTGTCTTTTATTACAAAAGAAACAACTTTTATCCCTGACATTTGTGATTTTCTTCACCGGAAGTCACACATGCTGACTTCCTGAATGCAACACGTGAGTAGAGTTAGAATCTGCATGAGTCCAAACGATCCTTACAAAAAGCTTCAACACCCTTACTTTCAGCACCACGGACAGCGAAGTGAACACCTGCCTCCATCTGCACTGGAAGCTGCTTTAGGTAAATCTAGATCCACCCAGGACAAGGAGGAAAGACGGAGGTCTTTGTGTGAGGTCACATGGGACACAGGTGAAATATGATGGGATCTTTTTATTTGAAAAAGAGTCAAAAAGGTTGCAAAAAAACACAACAAAAAAAAATGCACAACAGGGAGGGTAAGGTGGAGCAGGACACTGACAGGGAGGTTGTGGCTGTGTCTGCACTGACTGTACCCATCTGCTGTGGTAAAGGGAATGCTCAACTTAATTTTAATGCCTACCACAAATACTGGTGGATGAAATATCTTCAGAGTGGCTGGACCTCAGGGATAGGTGAAGAGCTCGGCTGTTCAGGAGAAGCTCATAAGAGTCTCTGCTCCTCTATATTAAAACATTCATTTTGGGTATTGAGTAAATTCCTCTAAATCCATGCAAGTTGTTTCAGGTATGTTCCACTTGGAGGAGATCTCAGAGCCTCTGAAGACAGTGCCTTCTGGAGAGATTATGTCTTATAACCTTCTAGAAATGACCTGGAGTTCTTCTGGATTCATGCTGAAGCTGTTCTGGATAAATGCAAGTGAACTGAGGGACTCAAGTGAATTATCTTCTGCTTATCCGGAGTCAGGTCGCGAGGACAGTAGCATTAGCAGGGAGGCCCAGACTTCCCTCTCTCCAGCCACTTGGGCCAGCTCCTCTGGAGGAATCCCACGGTGTTCCATGGCCAGCCAAGAGACATAGTCCCTCCAGCATGTCCTAGGTCTTTCTTTAGGTCTCCTCCCGGTTGGACGTGCTCAGAAAACCTCACTAGGGAGGTGTCCAGGAGGCATCCACAGATGTCTGCACCACCTCAACTGGCTCCTCTTGATGTGGAGGAGCAGCAAATCTACTTCGAGCCCCTCCCGGATGACCGAGCTTCCCACCCCATCTTTAACGGAGAGCTCAGACATCTTGTGAAGAAAACTCATTTTGGCCGCTTGTATCCGTGACCTCCTTCTTACTCAAAGCTCGTGATCGTAGGTGAGGGTAGGAACGTAGAACAACTGAGAAATTGGGAGCTTTACCTTCCAGCACAGCTTTTTTTTCAACACGACAGATCGGTTCAACACCCACATCGCTGCAGACGCAGCACCAATCCACCGGTCGATCTCACACTCCATCTTTTCCTCTCTTGTGAACAAGACCCCAAGATACTTAAACTCCTCCACTTGAGACAGGACCTCATCCCTGACTCAGAGAAGGCAGTCTACCCTTTTCAGACTCAAGTATCTACAAAAGATGCTAAATCATGTTCAAGTGTGTGTGGCAAACTTGGAAAGATGCAAACTTCCTACCATCAAAGACCCCACATGCGCTAACACAAAACAATAAACTAAACTAACATGAAAGACATCATATTGGGGGGGGGGATCACAAAGGTACATTCAATCACCAAAAAGACATGAAAGGAATGTGAAATTAGAAGGAAGAGGCACACATTTGCAACAGATGTAAGCTGCAGCATGCAACACATCTGAGAGGTGATTTAAAGGCTCTAACCTCTGAAGAAGAAAAAACATGAGACACGAAACAACAAACACGTGAGGTAGAACAAGAAAATAACAAACCCAAAAATGTATAAAAATGCTAAATGACCCCCCCCCCCAAAAAAAAGGTAAAAACCTAATTAAACCAATAAATGAGCCACAGAAAAAATAACTATGAGATGCTAAATTAATACAAAAAGCTTCTAAACAAAAAATGAGTTGTAACCAAAAACAGATGCTGATTTGATGTTTTTTTTAAGGTTTGGAATCCTGTCAGTGGTCACACATTATTCAAAATAATTTTTTTTCTGTTCATGCATTCAAATTAACATTATTTCCTATTTTCACTAATACATAGGAAGTCATTCACTTCTCTCTCAGAGTGACTCTGACCCCCTTCAGGGCTCTGAAACTGCCTGTGGCTAAAATCAGGTTCAAGTTTCCACACGAGTGTTTAGAGTGCATAAAAACATGTGATTGATCACACAGCTGAGGTCTTTGGGTGTAAATCAAACAGGCATAAAAAGTATCCATAGCAGACATGAAGACAGCAAAGAGAAGAGGCCACATTGGCTGCCTTGGAGCCAGTAGTCCTATCAAAATAATGACGTGGGTGGGGTCCATCGCAGCAGTGATGCATGTGCGTGTTCCGGGAACACTTTAACATGAATAATAGACCGTACTCACGGACAGAGACGATTTCAGCAGAAAAGTAGGATTGAGGCAAAAATTCTTAGTTGGAGATGACAATTTTCTGGCTATTTTAGCAATAGCATCATGCAGGAGAAGGATGTGCGCTTGTTTCCATGGCACATTTATCTTTGTATTCCACCGGCTTCCAGCGTTTTCAGTTCCTGATTTTTGATTAATGTCAGACCAAGCGGTGACGCATAAACTAATTCACTCCGCTCAAACATTCAAAGCTACTTCCGAGCAGGACATAACAGAGAAAGGGACAAAAATCCTTCTGGGACATCTTTTAATCTGGATTATTGTCAGAAATCTCCTCTGAAAGTGTTGTGGTGACATCATGCAATAATCAACTCAGGGCATCCAGCTTTAGTTCAAGGACACTGTCACATTGAAGGTGTGGACGTTAATGGAAACCTTTACTAGTGCCAAAGGTCCAAGCGGTAAGCCTCAGGCTATTAAATGCCCTGCTGACATCACGGCGTGATCTGTGTGATTCCGTCGTTCATTTCAGACAAATGCGGGGGGGGGTCTCATGTCCAAATGATAAATGATCAGTAGGTTTGTCTAAGGCTAATGATGAATTGTTTTAATTTTCTTTGAACAGACAAGCGGTATATTGACCTGCTGCACGGATGACATCCTGGAAGCTCAGAGAGCCAGTACTTATTAAAAGATGCAAACCTGACAGACGAGGCTGACTCCTACAGCTCCGGGAAAAATTTTAAGGGTCAAGTAATTCTCAGAGATGGGTTGTGAATGATTCTCTTCTACTACCATGCAAACCTTTAGCTAGATATGTGTACAACGGACTGGATTACAGTTATTATGTTTTGGCTAATGTTGATTAGCTATGAGGACTGTTTTAAATTGGGTGAAATTCAAAAGTTAGCCAGCTGTGCACCAAATGGAGACTTTTTGAAAATGTCAGTGGAAGCAAGTGTAAATAATTATTCTTGGTGGAGCTATGGGTGAAAAGTTTTCCCTTCTTAGCTCATTCTTCAAGTTACAATTCCAAGAGAATCATTTTTTCCTTTCTCCAAATAATCACTATTACGGGTATGATATCAGCTTTATCCATCCACTTTCCTCTGCTTATCCGGAGTTGGGTCATGTGGGCAGCACCCTAAGCAAGGAGGTCCAGACTTCCCTCTGCCCAGCCACTTGGGCCAGCTCCTCTAGGGGAATCCCAAGGCATTCCCTGGCCAGCCAAGAGACATAGTCCCTCCAGTGTGTCCTTTGAGTCTCTTCCCATTTAGAATTGCCTGGAAAACCTCACCAAGGAGGCGTCTCAACCAGATGCCCGAGCCACCTCAACTGGCTCCTCTAGATGTGGAGGAGCAGCGGATCTACTCTGAACCTTCTCGGATGACTGAGCTTCTCACTCCATCTCTAAGGGAAAGCCCAGACACCCTGTGGAGAAAACTCATTTCAGCCACCTTTATCCACAATCTTGTTCTTTCGTTCACAACCCAATCAGTGACAAAGGGCAGCCTCAGCTCTATCTATATAAACCAACACTGAGTTTGTGACTGAGGGAGTGAGAGAGAGAGGGGGGGGGGGGGGGGGGATCCATCACCATCTAGCATGCTAGCCATTTCCTGTAGCACATGTGCTATCAGCCACTGCCAGCACCCCAAAGACTTCAGTGATGCTGATTAGCCAAAAATAATTAGTCAGTTTTACCTAGCAACCAAACACGATTGGCTGTTTAGCTGATAGTCAGAGGCTCTTTGCATCCCATTGGTGATATTAGTGAGTCTGTTGGAGGAATTACAGCTGGAAACAGTGATGACTAAATAAGTCAGATTGCATGTAGGCACACACAATAAGCAAAAGTGACACATTCATAGTAAATATATGCTCACTGGCCACTTTATTGGGCACACCTTGCTAGTACTGGGCTGGACCCTCTTGACTTCAGAACTGCTTTAATCCTTCGTGACACAGATTCATCAAAGTACTGGAAACATTCTTCAGAGATTTTGGTCCATACTGACATGATAGCATCGGCAGTTGCTGCAGATGTGTCGGCTGCACATCCATGATGTGAATCTCTCATTCCACCACATCCCAAAGGTGCTCTGTTGGACTGAGATCTGGTGACTGTAGAGGCCATTTGACTACAGCAAACTCGTTGTCATGTTCAAGAAACCAGTCTGAGATGATTTGAGCTTTATGACATGGAGCATTATCCTGCTGCAAGTAGCCATCAGAAGATGGGTACACTGTGGTCATAAAGAGATGGACATGGTCAGCAACAACACTCAGGTAGGATGTTAAAGTTAAAGTTAAAGTCCCATTAGTTGTCACACACACAGGTGTGTGTGTGTGCGAAATTTGTTCTCCGCATTTGACCCATCCCCTGGGGGAGCGGTGAGCTGCAGACACAGCCACGCTCGGGAACCATTTGGTGGTTTAACCCCCCAATCCAACCCCTTAATGCTGAGTGTCAAGCAGGGAGGCATTGGGT